ACCTTTGTGAGGGCAGGCAAAAAAATAGCCACTGCAATGCCTGGCATGGCAACAGCTGCTGTGACCCTGGCTTCCCTGGGAGAGAACTGCGCTGCTATACCTCTGGTTCTTATCTAATAGCTTTAGATATATACACTCTTACATAAATGTGTTAATGAAAACTGACCCAAATAAGACAAACCAAAACTATTTATCTCCCACAATCAGCATACTTCACCCTACCCACCCATCAGGAAAAACTAAACCTGGTAAAATTTGCCCCATCAATCTCTGATTATACCAGATGATATCTTCTCTTTTAAAATATTATTTTAGTGTGTGAGGACAGAGTTGTGTCTAGAAAGATATTAGGAAAAAAACCCAAAAAGTAAGAGCAAAGTCTGTATTTTCATTTAAAAAAAAATCAGGACTCCTTAAATTTCACCAGTTGTCTGAGAACGAATTTCTTCTGTCCAATACTGCTTTGAAGTGGTCAGAAGAACAATATTCACATAGAGTACTCTGGAATAATTTCACTGACAGCAACTAATAGCACAATTCCCTAGTGAAAAAAGTAACAGGTATGAGAAAATGTCTTCATAGGTTTACAGATATAGTAATATTTAGGTTTATTTTTACCACAATCAATGGCTAACTAAATTTGTAATTACTTTCCATAATGTAGTAACTGCTGCCCAAGGTGAATAATATCTTCAAGGGTTCCTGACAAATTAACCTATCTACTTACATGGTACAGGATAGCCAATTAAAAAGGAAGAAAAGGTAAAAAAATCCATTGACTATCACTTCATTTTTGGCACCTAAAGATGTGTTCCAGTCTTGTTCGAAAGAACCAAAAAATCAAGTGTTATACTAGACTATTAGGAGAAATTCACCAGATATGTCACACTGTATGTATACTGACTCTAAATTACCTTTTATAGTGAAACTGTTCAACTCATGTCACAACTTTAACAGGCCAAAAATAAATGCTTTTGTAAGGCAACATAAAAATATTGTTGTTAAAGGGTCCCCAGGGGATAGAATGCACTGTATTGCTAGAAAGGATATCTGGGTTATATTTCCAGTAAATTGATCTCTGGCCCATCAGAAGGCGTATTCATCATGAAAGCAACATGCTCACCTCCTGGGAGTGGAGGGCTGTGGCTGACATTGCTTAATCACTTTTCACATCTGATTATAATGAAGCACTGACAGGCTATGCAGAGTTCCATCTAGTTTTCTTCAGGAAGGACGACTAAGAAGTAGGACTGAGGGAAAATCCTTTGGGTTCTTGTACAGGAACAAAGGTGTCCTCCACCCATCCCCCAAGAAAAGAAATAAAATGAAACAAGTACACTATAAAAATTAGAAGATAGATGTATTTTGCTCTAACATATAAAACAGAGGTTCCCAAAGTTTCGTTTACGGAGAGCCATTTGAGTGGGACATTGTGATAGGGGCCATATAACATAATTAACCTGTAATAAAATACCTTTATGTCCAATAGGATGCAACACTGTTGGCCACCTTTAAAAAGGGTCCCTTTCTAGGCCATAAGACTTTGTTCATAGACTGCACTTTGGGAACCTCTGATATCAAGTATTATCTTATAATAAATGGAAATGGATATTATAAACTTTGATTTACAGATTAATTCATACCAGTCACCTGAAACACACAAATTAATTTTGGAACAAAAAAGCCACTCTAGATGCTCACATTTTATATTGTTCTTGAAATACAGTTTATAAGGAAGGCTACTCTAATTCCACTTTCTATTCTTCCATAAAAAGAGTAAAAAATTCAGGAAAATGGCTGTTAAGTGCAAGGTATTTTTAAGTAATAAGATTTCATCTTTGGTATTTATGTCAACATTTTAATTACTTCTGGTTTACTTAATTCCAAGATTAAGTCAGGGCACTTCCTTCCCATCCAGGATTTCAGTGGCAAGTGGACTGCAAAAATGTACCCTGAAACATCTACATAGTTCTGCTTTATGTAGAAGTAGGGAAAAGTGATTACTTTGGTCTGGGCATTTCTAAATTTTTAAAGGGAAAGAAAGCACGCAGAGCAGCTCTTCCCAGCTGTTTATTCAATAAAAATGTTTTAATGGTTATCAGAATGAACAAATACATTCATTATGTTTATAAGAAGAATAGCAGAACAGATTCTCAGCAGAAAACTGGCAGTCAAATCACAAACATACTGATGACATCTTTGGACAAATAATTTAATCTATGCCTCAGTTTCTTCCACTGAAAAAGTCAGGTAATACAATGCCTGCCTAACTCAGAAGCATGTTAAGGACTGTGCGCTGCACACCTCAGAAACTAAAGATGTGCTCCAGGAGTCATGTGTTTTGTTATAAATGTCATTACTATTATCTAGTCAGTGGACCTACAATATACAGCATGGTTATACTGATATAAACTTTTCTTTCATAACTGTTAGTGGGGAGTGTAGAAAAAGGAGAAATGATGTGGGTCACATCTTTTTCCTTCCCTTTCAGTTTATATGTCTTGCAGCATCTCTACATTTTTTTGTTCTTTTTCTCCTCTTATGTGCAAAATCCTTATGAAGTCATGCTATGGTCGATGAGGTAAAAGAGTATAAACATGCATATGTGTTTAATAAAGGAATAATTTTCTCAAATTAGAATTGTTTCCTTTCATGTCTAACATTTTTCATAAAGTGCCAAATAGAGAAAAGATTAGAACCTTGTTCAAAGGATCACTTAGGTTCCTAGGCAAAAATTTTTTTTGCAAGTGGCTCCATGTACGGAGTGTAATTTTATGGAAAGAGTGAAAGCAGATATGAAAAAGTCAATTTTTCCTAATATCCACAAGCAGACCTGTTATTTTCCAAGTTTCCATAGTGTCCTTCTGTAAACGTATCACAATGCAAATCAACCCCCCATTACTTATTTTTTATGTAACAAGCTAAGTTGACTTTACTCTGAAGCACCTACCTGTATTGCAGAGTTCATGAAACATGTATTTCCCAAGTTACTTAGGCCACAAAGCCCAGGTTGCTCATTGTGTCTTCCTGGCTCTGAGTAATCATAGTTCTTATAAGCAGTGTATGATGGGAGGCAATAATTGGAATTTTTCACACTAGAAGAAAAAAACAAATGTTTTTTACAATGTAGTCACACAATCTGTATACAAATTATATAGTACTGTATACAAATTATGAAGTGATTTAAAAGTTAGAAATAACTACTACTAACTAGATATATTCTTAGAAGTATGTAGCTATAGCAATTCAGCTTCTCAGCAAACCCGCCCCCACAAACCCAAATCACTCTTCACCCTGCAAACTCAATACTTTAGTATACCGCAATAAGCAAAAACAGACTACTACTGTATCTTTCTACCCTTGTTCAATAGGAGCAGCTTCACAGCTCACTCCATTCTTCATTGCTCCATCAAATTTAACACACTCAGACTTTAGACACCACCAGCAGCAATAGATCATTTCATTTATGTCCCTTCTGCATCCTGCTACTGTAAGAGTGAGGACAGTAGAAATGGGAATGAAGAGTTGTGCTTCAGTTACAGGTGAGATCTGAGATTTCCAAGGCCACAGTGACATCACTGCCCTGGTGCATTGGAGGTTCTATTTATAGCTTCACTGCTAAGACAGCATAATCTGGCATGCAAATGCAGGGGAAAAGCCTGGAGCGATAAAGGAATGCACAAAATGCCTACCAGCTACTTCTTTATAAAGCTCTATTATGTACCTACTTGGTGAGACTGAAGAAAAAACAAACTGTAATAGGTAGTACTGGCTAAATGCAAGGTAATTTATTTTTCTGATAAAACAAATACTAAACATGGAAAATAGTAAAATAAGCACTTTTGAAAGGACTAGGAGGGCAAAAGGATCCAGTAAGACAGAATGCTTTATCATCTTACATACAGTATAAAAAAAAGGTTAAATTCTTTCTCAAATTGTTCCAGTTACCAATTATATGAAATATTCATGATAGCAGCTCTGGATAAGATTCAAGAGCATTTCTGCAATCTTTAAACATCATTTCACTTTAGAATAAACCTGAAAACGATTTTGAAGGTCACTTGCTCAGAGTTAAGTCTTACAAGGAAAGAATAAATGGTGCCAATGAATTTATCTGGATAAACAAAAAATAAAACACACACCTGGGCCCTATAATCTTAAACGTACAAGTGGATGGGAGAGTGGCTTACGGGGACCCTCATCATACTGTTCCAGTCATACACTCTATATACTCAATTGAAATAACAGGGAGATTCCACTTCAATTCCTTGCAAGTATTATCTATTTTAATATATTAAAACAACTGTTCTACTGGCTTAATCTGAAGGATTGTCTTTAATACTGAAATGTCTCTTTTAAAAACAGCCTTTTTTGAATATGACAAAACCAAACCCTCATTTTTCTTCTTTCCCAACAACAAACACATTTAAGAATCTAGCAAACTGCATAGTTCTGGAGAAGTGCTCTCAGTTCCTTGGAGAGGAACACTACAAGCCAGGGAATCCACCTTGCACCTGAGACATACCACATGCAAACTAAACATGCATTAAGTCTGGCTTGCCCTAAAATTCATATCATGAAGTGCATTTGTGCCTGAAAGCTTGCAATTAAAGAATTTTTTTTTGCAAAAATCTTGTTGGTCTAATAAAAGATATCATCTCTACTATGAGTCCCTATTACTGTGTCCAGAAGAATTTAGGCAACTATTTGCACAGACTAAACATATAAATAATTTTCAAAGGATTATCATGATATTCTACACTTTTTTTTTTTTTTTTTTAAATAAATCAAGTAATTGTCATCAGATTAAGATAAAACTGATTTTAATGTGTCAGATAAATCACGGAAGCGACAATCATAGCCACTGATGTTCTAGAATGCCTCCTACCAAAGTTATGTAATAAATATAATATTCCTGCAGCAGTGGAAAATGAAAGGAAAGAAACACACATGTCCACAAACATTCATGCAACTGGTGCAATGCTTGTGCTGCCTGACTTAAACACTCTAGTACATGATTCTCAACCAGGATGCCCAAGCACACTGAAGTGTTGTCAGATACTTTGGAGGGTGCTGCGAGGAGATATGCAAATATACTAAGTAGATAAGCCAGGCTCAGGCTTGTCCTTACTTAAATGATCCCTGACCCCTACTGCCCAGTCGCTGTAAGCACTGTAATATATACAATAGTTTTTGAATTTGGCTGCTACTCAATTCACAAAACTTATGGAGAGATGCCTCGAGTCTAAAAGGGTTGAGAACCACTTCTCTCGTAACAGGTGTGAGGAACTATTACAAGCATTATTGTCACTAGGGAGCTGCAGCAGGCACCCTGCAGAATCACACAACAGTGAATCCTGTCACTCCTTGAGCTGAATGCCCTGTGCACATGGGAACCATGAAGTTTTTTTGTGATATCTGCTTTGCCACATAAAATATCAATAGAGTACAATATACAGCATATTTACAGGGATCTACTGGGCTGATGTAGGGTCTGTAGGTCTAAGTGTAAAGACTCACTGCCAGCAGAGCATAATCCAGTATGCAAATTGAAGGGAATAAGCTCGTTTCAGTGGTCAGCCTGCCATTAAGGGCAAAATGTCTGTGAAAAGCGTGTACAAGTGCTGCCCACTCCCCATTTTACAAATTCCAGGTTACCTGGAGAGTGCCATTTGTCTTTTCACTCTTTCCTTTCACACAGTATCTTTACTGGGTTTTAGTATGCGTTACAGTCCCTTCCCACTAACAGGGGGGCAACTACAGGAATCTGATGAAGTAAACTGCTGCTTACAAAAGCTTATGCATTTCTCATTTAGTTAATCCAGTTGTTTTCAACACACACCCTGGAAAATGCCAGTGCTTAGATTAACACTTGTTTTTAGACTATGGAAAAAATAAGCAATTTTTCTGATGCAGACTCAGAAAGCTATAACTAATCAGAATATTTTTAACACTGTGGCTTCTTATTTGAAATACCTGGCCGCAACTAGATGAGTGCAGAAGTTTGGTTCCCTGGGGACAACTAGCAGTGGGACATTTTGTGCCACTGCTAACTGTCCCCGGGGAACCCCCATGCCATGCATCTTCTGGTGTGCAGCGGGTTACCTCAAGTGGGGTAGGGGAGGCTGAACCAGCAACTGCGCTGGCCCCAGCAGCCTTATCTGTGGTCTTGGGAGCCAGGGAACCTGCAGCCGCTTCTCTCCTGCAGCTTGGAGCCTGGCCAGCAGCTGGAGTGTGGCTCTGGCTGGCCAGGCTCTGATTTTGGGCAGCACGCACTGCCCCCACATGCACTGCGCTGCTTTTTTTCTGCATTTTTTTTTTTGACCCTTGAATCTCTAGGGGTCAACCCTGCTCCCCTGCCCCGTGGCGCAAGTTAGCAGCACGGGAAACATCTGTGTGTGTGGTGCCACAGATGAGTCTGTGGTGCCACATACCACACGACTGCATTCGTTTGGATGTGGCCTTTGGGTTTATCTTGTGAATTGCATGTAGGTGTTTACATACCTAACATTACTAATGTTATACGGAACACTAAGAAGGATCTCACAGCACCCTGGCTGCAAATAAAAATAGGTTAAAACAATGGGATACCTGGAGCCTCGGAAAACTAGTTATTCTAGTCTGGACTTCAAATGCTCCATAACCAAGCAATTAAATCACCCTACAAAGAACTAGAAGCTGCTGCTGGAACATCCCTTGAGGGAAGGAGCTAGAACTCTTAGTAATAGACACGGTCTGCCTTAACAATGGCTGTCTTACCGATTGGAACAAAAAGGCAGGACTGTTGTAAGAGAATAAGTGTACTGAGTCCCTGAAAGTACAAACCAAAACCCAAAAGGAGCTCTTGGGCACTGGATGACAGCCAAGAGAGAAATTAGCACACAATCTTGTGAGATTTTACACCTATCCACCTCTTGAACTCTGCATTTTTAAACCAACCATTCTGCTAAAGTCTATGATCCTTGCTTTAGCTGGTTTAATCTGAAGGATAAAACAGTAATATAAATGTTCACGGCTTTGTTGGAACTCTTGTGGAGTGTGCAGTTCCTACTGATGTGGCTTGGAAGGGCCAGTACTAAGATATGGGACCTCAACCTTTAGAGCAAAGAGTCTGGTATTTTAATAAGTGATGCTAAGTGTTCTGTATACCAAGAATATGTTCAGAAGCCCATAATTTTGAGGCAGACTGGACTGCATTCAGACCCAGCCAACCTAGGAACATGAGAGACCTTAGGCTATTACCACATCCTGGGAAGATGCAAGACCAAAAGGGGGAACTCAGCAAAGTTTACATAAGAACATCTCTCCTTACTCATGTTTTAGCACCTAGACTGTA